CAAAGAGAGGGACCTATATTGTACATAACAGGTCCTTAGAATGTTTTAGTATCCACGTTTGAATCACACTGCTCCTAGAGTAAGAAGTTTCACAGTATTGAATTTGCGTATTCAATAGAGTGAAGACAGTGTGGTTTGAACTCAAAATGGACATAAATCACTCTAAGAATGCGGGATAAATGTTTGGTTATCAAGTGTATTTTTAATATCTGAATTCGTTTTTCATTTTGCCAGGGTTTTGTCTGTTTTTCCATGACTTGTTATTATGACATTTCCATTAAGTATATTCCACCTCATATTATGATCCCCTTCTGAATAATAAGATAAGACAGGTGTTAAGCGACATTTGGGTCTTTCAAAATAAATGAAGCATGAGCGTTCATACATCTTTACAATTTTTAGATTCTGATTTGAACTTGAACAAGTGTAATAAAAAAGATTGATTGAAATTGTTAAGTCGCAATAAGTATTAAAAGTATAAGTGATGTCTGAAACAGAAAGTTCTTTATTAAAGTACACATATACTTACCTGATACGGTTGATGGTAACACAGACCCGACGAATGTATGTGATCTGATTGATATCTTAGTTTTAGATGCATGTTTTCTTTTAGTAGTTGATATTGGGTTTGAACTAGCTGTCAGTAACTACGAGTACTGTCAGAACTATATGTTGTGTCTTTTTTTATGTTATGGATGTATGTATACCCGGCCACATCTGGTCTGTGTTTTTATTCGATGCATTTTTGCTTTGTATCGACCCGATGATTTAAGCTCTTTTCAACTGATTTTTATATTTTGTTTTTATGTTGTGCTGTAACACCACTGTCCCAGGTTAGGGGGACGGTTGAGTGCTCACAAACATGTTTAACCACACCACATTCTTTATGTGTCTGTCCCATGTTAAGATCCTCTATTAAGTTTTTGCCGTTGGTTCATGTCTGTCATATTTGTTTAAATTTTTTTGTAATATTAAATTAGGTTGTTAGTTTTCTTAATTGAATTGTTTCTTATTTTTCATGTTGGGGCCTTTTACAGCTGAATATGCGGTATGGCATTATAAATATTGTGTTTCTGGCATGTCTTTCACATCATGTATTTTAAAGGTAAAATTACATCTGTTGGGAATTATAACTATAAAAAAGGAAAACAACTGTTACACATTTTAAATTTCATGCGTCCGAAGCGCTTTTCTGAATTTACCTTCATCAGCAACGCTCAAAGCCGATAACTGAAAGCCGATGATGTATAAGAAACGAAAAAGTTAAGGAGTTATATGACCAAAAACGGATCTTAAAATAATAGCCAAATAAATCTAAGGTCAACCTTTCATGAGGGAGTTGAAACCTTTATTTCTTCATGATTATAAAATTATAAATATATAGATGTCACGTTTTGTTCCAGTTACATTCGTCGAGATAGCGACTACATTCACCTGGTAATATCCACTGGTTAGGTCAATAAAAAGCGATTATAGCTCAAATATGTTTAAAACACCTGATGACTTACGATCAATCTTAGTCGTAATTTTTTTTGTGAAATCGAATACAGTCTTTTGTTAAACACTGTATGTTGACTTCTTTATGAATTTGGATTGCTTAGTCATTGATGTATAACTCATATCTCTTCTTATTCATATCTGTTAACTGTATTCACATTGTCCCCACACTATAGGTATTTTATCTCTTTCCTTGGATTGTGACATTATCAAATGCGACTTATTACCGTTTTTTCCCTACGAGTAACGCAACGGGTGCCGCGAGTAGTAAAGTAACTGTTTAATCTTTTAAAGCTACTAACTACGTTCATATTCTAGAGCTACTACGCTCATCTTCTGGAGCTATTACATTCATCTTCAAGAGCTATTACGTTCATCTTCTAGAGCTATTACGTTCATCTTTAAGAGATACTACGTTCATCTTCTAGAGCTACTACGTTCATCTTCAAGAGCTACTACGTTCATCTTCTAGAGCTAAGTACTACGTTCAACTTCTAGAGCTACTACGTTCACCTTCTAGTGCTACTACGTTCACCGCCGTTTTTTTTGTGATATTTGTGTCGCTCAATCTTCAGTTTGCTGTGTAGTATTTTGCTATTACTGTTTGTCTTTTAGTCGTTATTCTTTTATGACATCGTGTAACAATTTTTATCAAACTTATGATTTTTGATTGCCTCGTGGTATCTTCTCAATTCTTTTTGATATATTATATATGTTCCTGTCTGTTGTTGAAAATCGTATGTTTAAAAACAAGATGTGGTATGATTGCTAATGAGACAACACTCCAACAGAGATCAAATGACATATAAGTTAATAACTATAGGTCACCGTACGCCTTCAACAATGAGCAAAACCCATACCCTCTGCCTTCTGGATGACCTTTGGTTTTTGATGTCGTTTATGTATTGCTCTCTTTAATACATAAATACGCGGTCGATATCTCTGAAGTTGTTCACGTTTCATGTAATTGTTGAAATAAACTTTGATCTTGAATTTCGGTCATTTTTCAATATTTACATATAGAAACTTGAAATCAAGGCTGTAAGAATCCAAAAGTTAATTCATATTTTATGTTATGTAAAAAGTAAAATAACAAAAATATCGAACTCCGAGGAAAATTCTAAACGGGAAGTCCCTAAGTAAATGGCAAAATCAAAAGCTCAAACACATCAAACGAATGGATAACAACTGTCATATTCCTGAACTGGTACAGGCATTTTCGTATGTAGAAAATGGTGGATTAAACCTGGTTTTAAAGCTAGCTTAACTTATCACTTGTATGACAGTCGCATAAAATTCCATTATATTGACAACGATGTGTGAACAAAACAAACATACATATTAGGTAAAAATGTACATTGCATTGTATATGTCAACAAAGAAAAACAAAAAGGCATATAGACAAAGCACATTAGCAAAAACAAAAGACAAGAAAGCATGATAAGGGTTCTTCGTGCTTCATGATTCATTACGAGCGTTATCGAGTTCTTTTCAGGAAGAAAGATGTTGTCATTCTCTTCCAAACTTTGTTTAAGGTTTAGTGTTCAAGGCTCAAATTAATGCTTGATTTTTTTTAATCAAGAATATTTTTATGGTCATTGCAATATTTAAAATTAATGCTCGACTTCTTTTTCATGCATTTTATTTTTGGATTAGACTAAATAATAATAGTAGTCTTCATTATCATAAACCATAAGTTACAATGGTACAGAGATATACATACATATAAGTATACAACAAACTTATTTATAATAACACCAGACACATGACCAAACACACAAGCATGCACAAATTATCAGTAAACATCCACATACACATACATCATTATGTACAATATAAACAATAATGAGGAGTTATGATTTTGCATGGAGAATAGATATTTTACTTATTTTCCGTATAAATCTACGTACTTTTTCTATTTCAAACATGTCTGTACAGCTCATGATTCCTTTGAATTTCAAAATATTTTGTCTTTGTCACACATTTTCATCTTTTAGCTTTTTCCTGTCAATTGCAAATGTTTTACATTCCAGGATATAATGATATTCATCACTAAAACAGTTATTATCTCATTTCAGACATATTCTTTTTTCCTTTCTATATCATTCCACCGTCCTGTTTCTATATGTGATCTATGATTTCTGATTCTGGACTTACAACGCGTATAGATATCTTTACCTTCCGATATTTTAAAAAAGTTTTTTGTCAAATTCAAATGTTTCTATAAACGATTTATATTATATACATTTTGATGAATTTAACATAAGACATGCTATTCCTGTCTAAACCGATCATATAGGCGCATCTTTTTGAAAACACAAGCCAATCTGAGCTAGGAAAAGTTAACATGTCATCCAGTACAAACACTTTTAACCATGGCGATTCAAAATGACTGTCGACTGACAATTTGTATAATAACTGATACGCTAAATAAGAAAGATTGTAATCAATCCAGACAGAAGTCGTGGCTAATATGCAATCATTTTTAGTTTGATATCTAGTTGAACAGGAAAAATGCCAAGTTCGACATAAATCATATAATTTTAGGTGGACGATTTCAACTTAAGTAACAGTTTACAAAATTGCAACGGTATCTTTTCGATGCACTGCGTATTTTTGCAAAACCCGAAAATATATGAGCCGTAAACAATAATTGACTTTGCCATTTCATTAAATAGTTCTTCTTGACTTTCCAGTGATAAATTTTGAATGCGACCTCTTTTCAAAACATCAATTGCTTTTGTTGCCTTCTCTGCTTGCTTTACCAATCGTATGATATTAATATGGCTAATTTATGTATATTCCGTTTTAAATGGTGCAATATATGCACCGTTGCATATAATTGCTCACATCCACTTCATATGAACTTTGGGGGATAGTTGTCTCATTGGAAATTTTACCACATTTCCTTTTTTTATAAAGCTTAAGGGCATGCAAATTTTGATTGAATGGTATACATCTAACGCGCAAGATAACCGCAGTTATTTTTTTCTGTCAACAATCCTATCCTTTTTTTTTTCTATTTAAGGTATCCCCGAGTGTGATTTATATCCAAAACTAGTGGATTCCCATCTACTAAGTTTACCTAAGGTTTCAGTGGGGTTCTTTTGCTCAATCTATGTTTCCTATGAAGTGTTATATGAAATGTTGTTTGTTTGTCTTTTTTCATTCCGCCATAGTGTTGTTTGTCTTTTGTCATAGTTTTTGTATTTATTGCTTCCTTGGTATCTTCTTTCCATTTTTTATAGAATATATTTTTCTTTCATACATATTCTACATTCATTCCAAACACAAAGTTGAAAGTAAATTCTCTATAAATTCTCTATACATTTGGATTTGTTTTCAGAAATGTTGCTTTACATCAGAGTTAAATACAGTGTCTCCAGATTTTACATGTCTTTCCTTAACCATAATTCACACCAAGGTCAACGTTAGAATAACAAATTTGCACAACTATGAATTTTACCTTACTTATATTTCTCAACTTAAATTTTACTTCTAGGATGGACCAGCCATTTGTGTATGACTGACTTAAACGAGTGTAAGCTTAAGGCAGATATATGTAATTCTGGAAAATGCACCAACACAGTTGGTAGTTACCACTGTATCTGTCCACTTGGAACTTACGGTAAACAATGTGATATAGCTGAGACATGTGATAGTCATCCCTGCAAAAATGGTGCTACATGTGTAGTTGGAAGCAGTAATACTATTTCATGTAGATGCGTATCTGGGTATTCAGGACCGAGATGTGAAATTAGTCCTCATTTGAAATCAACAAAATCTCTGGCAACATCTACAACGAAACATATAACAACTAAGCAATGCCCTAAAAACTGCAATAGACGGGGAAGATGTAGCAAAGGAAAATGCTTTTGCAGTGCCGCATGGACTGGAATTGACTGTTCTATAACTAATCACTGCAGCACACATCCTTGTAAGAACAAGGGAAGATGTATCAATAGCGCAAGAGGACATACGTGTAATTGCACCACTGGATGGACTGGTATAAATTGTGAAAAACGTAATTATTGCTCACAGTCTCTATGTAACAATGGTCACTGCACAAATGGACAGACCTCATTTTCTTGTTCATGCAGCAACGGCTGGACGGGTACTAAATGTGATGTTCGGGACTACTGTTCAACACATCCATGTCAGCATGGAAGTCGATGTAGAAACCAAAGAAATACTTACCAGTGTCCGTGTTCATCTGATTGGACCGGGAAAAACTGTAGTATTAGAAATTACTGTTCCGGTTCTCCATGTCAGCATAATAGTACATGTACAAATGGAGCTAATACATACTCTTGTGTATGTACAAAAGGCTGGATTGGGAAGAATTGTAGCATTCAAGATTTCTGTTCAGGAAAACCTTGTCAACATTCCAAGTCTTGTACAAATACAGGTAACTCTTATTCGTGTCAATGTGATAGTAGATATACAGGAAAGAATTGTGAAAAAAGCAATTATTGTTCTAGTTCTCCATGCCGAAATAGGGGCACATGTTCAAACAAAGAATCTACGTACACATGCACGTGTCCATCGCCTTGGATCGGCAGGAGTTGTGAAAGAAGAAATCATTGTGCCAGTTCACCTTGCAGTCATAACAGCACATGTACAGCCAGAGGAAGCACCTTTTCTTGTTCTTGCTCACATGGATGGATTGGTACCACGTGTGATACTAGGAATTATTGTTCGAACCGACCTTGTCAAAATGGTGCTAGATGTTTAAATAATGGTACATCGTACATGTGTGTCTGTTCCAGTAGATGGACTGGGCAGAATTGTCAAACGAAAAATTACTGTTTCTCTAACCCATGTAAAAATAAAGCGGAATGCTTAAATAAGGGAGGTAAATTCTTGTGTAATTGCAGAGCAGGGTGGATAGGACATACATGCGAAATTGTAGATCACTGTACATCACATCCATGTCTGAATAATGCACAATGTACAAATAAAGGAAACGGATTTTATTGCACTTGCTTACCGAAATATATCGGACAAAGATGTGAACAACAAGATTTCTGTTCAAGTTCCCCGTGTTTAAATGGAGGTAATTGTACTAACAACAAATCTTCATACTCATGCCACTGTTCAAATGGATTCATAGGTAAGAAATGTGAACAAAAAAACCAATGTGTATCAAATCCATGTAGAAATGGGGGTCAGTGTCAGAACAGCGTACATAACTTTCAATGTAGATGTACACAGGGATGGTCTGGACCGACTTGTCTCTTGGAAACAGGATGCCATAATAATACATGCCATAGTCATGGAAGATGTACAATGAGAAGTAATAACCCTGTTTGTAGATGTTATACCGGATGGCATGGGGATAAATGTGAAACAGAAGATCATTGTTCCAGTCATCCATGTCAACATAATAGTAATTGTACAAATAATGTAAATACTTTCTCGTGTCATTGCACTCACGGATGGATAGGAAACACATGTACTGATACTGATCATTGTGCCGGTAGTCCATGTAAAAATACGGGAAAATGTAGTAATTTAGCAAATGGTTTCAGATGTCAATGTGTTAATGGTTGGGGTGGAGCAACATGTCAAACAGAAACAAAATGTCATACAAATACTTGTAACAACCATGGAACATGTCGAAATAGTCGAAATAATCCTATATGTACCTGTCTTAAAGGTTGGCGTGGGGATTATTGTGCCGAGTTAGATCACTGTTCTAGCCAGCCGTGTAATCATAACGGCACCTGTACTAATAGTGGCACTGCCTTTTCCTGTCGTTGTAGTAAAGGGTGGATTGGAAAAACATGTACTGATATTGATCATTGTGCTAGTAGTCCGTGTAAAAATTTGGGAATATGTAGTAATTTAGGAAATGGTTTCAGGTGTCAATGTGTTAATGGTTGGGGTGGAGCAACATGTCAAACAGAAACAAAATGTCATACAAATACTTGTTACAACCATGGAACATGTCGAACCAGCGGAAATAAACCTATATGTACCTGCCTAAAAGGTTGGCGTGGTGATTTCTGTACCGAGGTAGATCACTGTTCTAGTCAGCCGTGTAATCATAACGGCACCTGTGCTAATAGTGGCACTACCTTTTCCTGTCGTTGTAGTAAAGGGTGGATGGGAAAAACATGTACTGATATCGATCATTGTGCAACTAATCCATGTAAAAATACGGGAAAATGCAGAAATTCAGGAAATAGTTTTAGATGTCAGTGTTCTAATGGTTGGAGTGGAGCAACATGTCTCACGGAAATAAATTGTCATAACAATACTTGTAACAGCCATGGAACATGTCGAACCAGCGGAAATAAACCTATATGTACCTGCCTAAAAGGTTGGCGTGGTGATTTCTGTACCGAGGTAGATCACTGTTCCAGTCAGCCGTGTAATCATAACGGCACCTGTACTAATAGTGGCACTACCTTTTCCTGTCGTTGTAGTAAAGGGTGGATGGGAAAAACATGTACTGATATCGATCATTGTGCGACTAATCCATGTAAAAATACGGGAAAATGCAGAAATTCAGGAAATAGTTTTAGGTGTCAGTGTTCTAATGGTTGGGGTGGAGCAACATGTCTCACGGAAACAAATTGTCATAACAATACTTGTAACAGCCATGGAACATGTCGAACCAGCGGAAATAAACCTATATGTACCTGCCTAAAAGGTTGGCGTGGTGATTTCTGTACCGAGGTAGATCACTGTTCTAGTCAGCCGTGTAATCATAACGGCACCTGTGCTAATAGTGGCACTACCTTTTCCTGTCGATGTAGTAAAGGTTGGATTGGAAAAACATGTACTGATATTGATCATTGTGCTAGTAGTCCGTGTAAAAATTTGGGAATATGTAGTAATTCAGGAAATAGTTTCAGATGTCAATGTGTTAATGGTTGGAGTGGAGCAACATGTCTTACTGAAACAAATTGCCATAAAAATACTTGTAACAACCATGGAACATGTCGAAACAGTGGACATAAACCTATATGTACCTGTCTTAAAGGTTGGCGTGGTGATTTCTGTACCGAGGTAGATCACTGTTCTAGTCAGCCGTGTAATCATAACGGCACATGTACTGAAAGTGGTTCTACCTTTTCCTGTCGTTGTAAGATGGGATGGTTGGGAAAAACGTGTGCTGATATTAATCATTGTGCAAGCAGTCCTTGTAAAAACTTGGGACAATGCAGAAATTCCGAAAATAGATTCAAGTGTCAATGTAGTGATGGTTGGAGTGGTACAACATGTCTGAATGAAGTAAAATGTCATACTAGTACATGTCTAAATAATGGACAATGCTTAGAAACAAATGGTAAGCCTTTGTGTACATGTACCAGTGGTTGGACAGGATCTCAATGTTCAGACGAAGATCATTGCGTTTCAAATAAATGTAAAAATAGTGGAAAATGTGTTAATAATAAAACTGGATATTTATGTAGTTGTTTAGTTGGATGGAGTGGAACGTTTTGCGAACTGGAAATGGGGTGTCATCAGAACACGTGTAATGGTCGTGGTAGCTGTAACGAAACAAACAATTCCTTTAAATGTTCTTGCAATAATACCTGGACAGGAGATCAATGTCAGATTAGAGATTACTGCCTGCCAAATCCCTGTTTAAACGAAGGTACATGTAAAAATTCAACACAAGGTCCGTTTTGCTCTTGTAAACCAGAATATTTTGGAACAAAATGTGAGAGCATACGTACTACTACCGTATCTACTACAGAACAAACCACGACCAGTGCCACGCCTACATATAGAACTACAGTAATGGCTTTGATTCCGTCAATCGTCACAGATTCGTTAAAAACAACAGGAAAGAATATATCGTCGCATAACACAAATAAACAAATGCATACTTCCAATTATCGTACATCTACAGTCTTGGGGACAAAAACCGTTTTACCTTCAACGCAAAATTCTCAGTCTGCGTCGCAGCCTTCATCAGTACAGACCGTTACAAGCACGTCTACACAGAGCATGACATTTTCATCAAAAATGAACTTTATCGAAACATCCACAGGTCAGTTTTCAGCTTCAAATCCGTCTGTGACAAATGAACCGCTACTGACTACATCATCTTCAACACAACCAGTAGGAAGTACAACAACACAACAACATTCCACTACAGGTACATCAATCACAGGTCAAACAGCAACAATTAAGACAAGTAAGGATCGTGTAAAAGAATCCACCACAAATATACACACTACAAGTGCAAGGCCGGAAACTAATCTGTTTACTGTAAGTAGTGGTCGTGTTAAAGAATCCACCACAAAACTACATTCTACAAGTCAACCAGCAACAAGTGCAAGGCCGGTAACTAACCTGTCTCCTGCAAGTAGTGGTCGAGTAAAAGAAGCCACCACACATCTACATTCTACAAGTCAACCAACAACAAGTGCAAGGCCGGTAACTAACCTGTCTACTGCAAGTAGTGGTCGAGTAAAAGAATCCACAACAAATATAAAGACTACAAGTCAATCAACAACTGGTACCACACATTCGTCAACAATGTCTTCTACGATTCCAACGATATCTATCAATACTCGGCAAACGACTTCAAACAAAGTTCTTACAGACAATCAAACCGCGATAATGACAACTTCAAGGAAACCGAGATTGACACCGTCTACGCCTAACCCGGATGCAACAAAAAAAGTTGGTAAGTTTGTTAAAATGTAGTACTGTCCCTTCTATAAAAAGATTTAAGTGTATATAGCTGCAATGAAATACTTTTGCACAAGATTAATAGATTACATGCAAATTAAACTTTTTCCAACATCATTATACATACTTCAGTGAAATTTAGTAAAAAGGCCAAAGGTTTGGACGAAATAATAATACTTTAGGAAATATTGACTTTATCATGTTTAGAGTTAATAATTTTACCAAATTGTGAAATGAAGAAAAAGCTTTTTAAAAAAAGAAAGAAATACAGACTGTATTCCAATTTTTTCAATTCTTATTTTATATGGCAGGATAAGACATGACTTTTCAGTTGCCTAAAAAAGATTTATTTTTATTCGGCGACATAATTAAGTTCTTTGCAAGTCTTTCCTGGGCAATTTACCCATTAACATCAGTGTTTACTTTGATAGAATAGTTTTGGGGTAAAATAAAGTTACTATCATGGACCTCGTCATTTCTATGATCACCACTTAAGCTGTTTCAGATGATTGGTACTCTTTGTTTATGTGCTTAATGTCAAAGATTTCTTTTTCAGGCGTACATGCAACACTGCAGTTCAAAGGAGTTGTTAATGGTAATGGCAATGGAAAAACCATGAATGAAATTTTGACGGGCATAACAAACCTTCTACAGGATAAAAGCTGCAAGAAAGTGGAAGTGGAATACCTGAATAAACAAGAAGATATGAGGTATGTGTTGATGATTTCTGTGTGGAAACTTTCTTTGTCAGTTTCTGTTTAAGAATTTCCAGACAATCTTCGATAATATAAATAAATTTAGTAATGTTTGGAAAAGCTATTGCAATTTTTACTTTGTCGATTTCAGAGGATGATAATCTGTAGCAGTAATTATCACTTAGCTAACAACCTATTAAATGTCCCGTTATATTACCGTCCTCCATATGGAAGACAAATACTTACTTCTTCAATGAGATACTGTTATTGAATATAAATAAAATGAGATCTTTTAAAATACGAATTTGATCATATTTTTCGATTTATACATGTGATGAAATTTTTTTTCTTTTTATGCATGTACTAAACACATTTTTCGTTTTAAACATGTACTGAAGATAGTTTTCGTTTTATACATGAACTGAACATATTTTTATTTTTATACATTTGATAATCACATGCGTCCCTTTTCTTACATATATAAAACACATTTTTCAGTGATAAAACAACAAGCGTATCTGTAAGAGTGAAATGTGATCGAACATATCTAACAACGGAAATGTTAAACGACAAATTTAAAAATATCCCAGAGAAAGATTTAAAAGCAACTTTTCCTCTTCCAATGATCACTAAAACAGAAACCAAGCCACAGACTTCAGACAAGGTAAAGTAATGGTAGTTCAATTGACAATAGTTAATGGTATTTGGCCTTCAATGTATCCTACGATCCTGTAATGTCCAGAAAAGATTGCTTTGCACAAGAACCGTTCTATGTACTACATACACATTTTGACAAACATTTAATCTAGTTTAATTGTCGCGGCAAAATATTTGGGAATCCAAAACATTAAACTAAATATTGAAAGCCAGAAACAACTCAAATATGAATCTATCTTAACACAGCACATCTCTTTAAACAAATTCCACATTTTCTTGCCGATACTAAAGAGCTGGCTTACATGGCTGGTGATACCCTCGACAATTACAGAGATATCTACAGTGGTAGAAGTTACATTGAACTATTACTATTTAATGCATCAAGTTGATTCAGAATTCTTCTAGTCAATTTTTCTTGCTGTGAATAATTTGTTCCTTTAGAAATAAAACAACAGTGACTTATGCGAAAACTAAATAAATTCTATAATTTATTTCAATTCTGATAAACAATATGATGATGTAATCGTTTTTTGCTGTACGTCTATTGGCAAATATTTCATGTATGTTCAGAACGAGAACAAATAAATAAGTAGAACAATAGGTAGGTCCTGCAAAAGGGGGTCGAATGGGAGGAAGGGAAATTTGGAATACCACTGGAAAATGATGGTAATACAGACTCGAAATGTTTGAAATTCTTACAGGCTTTCAGCAGACCATTTATATATAAATTACAAAAAGAGAGGCGAAAGATACCAAAGAGATATTCAATATTGCATATAACTAATGTATGTTAAGGAGGGCGTATGGCAAGAGCAAATCTTTGATCCCAAAATTGCAAAAACGAAGAAGTAAAATTCTTCACTCCTTTCACTATAATGTAACTTTAATGATTAGAACGATATAGTCTGGTCGTTTGTTCTGTAAAAAATGCATGTGTGATGCCAACGTGACGTCACAAACAGGTCCAAATTTACATATTAACAATTGTAATTTAATAAGTATAGATTATTACATGGCATTTTTCATATCAGACCCTTTATCGGTCCTAGGTCATGATATCAGCCCAAGAGCCGCAGGCTCGAGGGCTGATATCATGAACGAGGGCCGATAAAGGGTCTGATATGATAAATGACATGTAATTATCTTTTTATCATATACTTCAACAGAAGAAATACAGACAAGAACTATTAATTAAAATTTTGTCTTTCTATGAATTTTTAGATAATAATTTACAGACAACCAAATACAAATTTCTTAACTTTAATTGTTTTTATTGATATTACAAGCATTTTATTTATCTTGTCACAACAATTATCATGTTCTTAGTTTGAAATTTGCTCCTCAACCATTTTGTGAAAAGTCTTAAATCACTTGCGGTTTTCCGCACTGTGTTGTCGTTTTCGAACAAATTTCCGGAAATGCACTAAGTTGCATGTGATAAACGTCACGGAAATTAACGGAAAGGCATGTGATAACATTCCGGAAGCAGTCAATAAAGGTTCCTTTATCAGCCCGCTGAGGAAATTCTTAGGAATCTGATCAATAAACCTAGTAATCCTTTCATAGCCTTTTAATATTTTTAAATGTTATTGAACTGTAAAATTTTAGTAATATTTTATACAAGTATATGATAAAAGTCTATATAATATATACAATATATATGATATAATAAAATATACGGTTTTTGGTGAGTTCGTGTTGCTCAGTCTTAAGCTTTCTATGTAGTGTTTTGTGTACTGTTGTTTGTCATTTCGTCGTTTTTCGTTTTTTGCCATGGCATTGTTAGTTTGGGCATTGTCAGTTTGTTTTCGACTGGTGATTTTGAATATACTTTGGTATCAGTTCATTCTCTTTTAATACAAGCTAAAGCCTTACACTAAAGTTATTTAACTCAAATAAATATATTAGAATCAGACATCTTGTAGCAAATAAGGCTGTTTCTTATAGCAAAGAACCCAAAATCCGGCTTTTAGACGACCTTTTTGTTTGCAATGTTTCCTCAATTGAAAAATTTGGAAATAAATAATTAATACAAATTTCAAAAGTATAAATACTTCTGATAAACTAGTGTATTGTAAATATCTAAAGGATCGTGTTAGATTGTTTATAATACTCACTCAAGGAGCCCAAAATATGTGACATAATCATACCTTCTCCGTTGTATATCTTTATGTTTAAAGTTAATTGCCTGATTCTAGAATAATCTCTCATATTGTATTGCAATTATAATTGTACACAACGACACAAAAAAAAATATTCCCAAAGGTCTACATAGTCTATAAACAATGTGTGTTATGTTCAATGTAACGTATGAAAGCAGAAGTCCATTACTACGGCTAGTAATGGACTTCTGATGATAGCCATTTTTGCACGACACGTGTAAACTATATTTGCTTGTAGGGTAGGTCACAGCACATCAGTTTGTTTTGGTTTTTTTTTTTTTCAGGCATAAAATATGTAATTGTATAATAATATATAATTCATGTACATCCTTTTTACACCGAATATCTGTTTTGCAGTCCTGGGCGTCGTCGAATTGGCAGATACTTGTTGGTGTCCTTGTGGGAGCCTCTGTAGTTATTGTCGCATTCATTGTTGCAAAGAAATATTTCACGTAAGCAGACATGTAAACTTATTATATCGTAAACCACAGAACTGTATTTCATAGGTTATATATTTAAACTTTCATTGTGCAAATATGAAAAAAGTTGCTGTACGATTTTGTACTATTTTTGTACTGGAAATGAGCTGAGTAGTTGTGCGCCTTTCCTACAAATATTAGTCAATACGCCATATTGTCTAAAATCTACAAAAAAGTCTTGAGTTGAGAAATTGAGAAGATCAATATTACTCCTATCAGAACTTTACTTTTAAAAGCCATTTTTAATATGTGTTTTAAGCACATTGTTTAACGAGTTGACAAGTATCTATACAATACAAATTTAATGTCTACTCAGAATAGTTATGCAAGAATGGAATATTTTACTTTCGAATTAAAATTATTCAATTTGTATCATTAAAGAAATCACATTCATATATGTTTCAAAAGACTTTCCATCTCACGTGGATTTTACGACTGTGCTGCGTTGTTTTCTCTTACACAACTGTCTCCGATATGGGGAACGGATGAGTGCTGTCAGACCTTATTGTTACGTTTCATTCCTCGTACGATTTTTTTTTCGAAATTCCTGTTTAAATTGAATCTTTCTAGCTTAATTTGAAGGATTTGTTTTCCGTGAAAATATGCATATTGTCTAGATCCATTTTTGTTAATTTATTCACAAATTTAATTGAGTTTCAACAACGAGCGAATGAAAGTAAAATTTTCCATTCTTTGCAGGAAACATAACAGTACAACAGACGTACTAGATGATATGGTGCTTGTAGGCCAAAATAATTACAGCCAAAATGACCTGTCTCCTTCTGGAACGTTTACGTACTCTGAAAAATTATAATGTAAGATTTAAGTAGAATTTTCAAATCGTTATTTCACGGACTAACGTGTTGTTGAACTCTGGGTATTATTTAAAATATTTCTAACAAAGTTACACGTACATAGTTTGATTCGTTCGATGCCAAGTCTGAATAAAAAGAGACACATATACAATAGTTATACATATTAAAGTAAAGAGAGAACTATATTTGATGGTCGTTTCCTCGTATATCGATTTAGTTTAAGACTCTCCACCAGAGCCCAATTACAAGGAATTTAACAACTTTAGGTCACCGTACGGCCTTCAACAATGAGCAAAAGCCATACCGCATAGTCAGCTATAAAAGGCCCCGAAATGACAAATGTAAAACAAATCAAACGAGAAAACTAACGGGCTGATTTATGTACAAAACAAAGAACAAAAACAAATATGATATACAGCAACAAACGACAACCACTGAAATACAGGCTCCTGACTCGGGACAGGCACATACAGAACGTGGCGGGGTGAAACTAGTTTTTTGGCACCCAACCCTCCCCCTAACATGGGATAGTGGTGTAACAGTACAACATAAGATAAACCATAAAAATCAGTTTAAAAGGGCTTAACTCATCAGACCGATACAAAGCAAGCAGAAAGACATCTAACAAAAACACAGACCTGGCGTGACCAATATCATGAAAAAAACCTGAAAATTATATTTTATATTCTGTGAAATGCAATTGCTGAACAGATTAATCTTGCTCTTTAAGAAACTCTTACTGTATGACTGACCGTGAATTTGCCAAGGAGAATAACTTTGTGCATGCACAAATGTTTTCAATTCGCGATATAATTAAACTTGGTATTATTCTAAATCAATTAAACTTTACACTAGTATTTGGGGCTCGGGGATTAAAAAGACAAAAACGCTCCCGCTTTTTCATCTTTGAAAGCATTTAGTGTAAATAATGAATCCCAAAAAGGTTATCAATATTTGTATAGGTAAGTTTTTTTTTTTATTTTCCCTACATAATCATTTTATCTAAATCTGTTAAATTTTGAACTCCGTATATCTGATACTCACGGTAACATATA